AAACTGATCTTTATTTCGTATTCGATGTGCTAAGTCGTGCATTAAATGCTTGACCGCACTACTAGCTGCCGGAAAGATGATGCATGATTTGTACTAAATCGTACTCGAGTACGATTTGTTGATAATTAGTACTTGAAAAGTCGTACGAATTACAATCGAAAGTGCCAAAAAGTCTGCAAACCACAATAAATCAGGTTGACTTTTCTGGTAGCTGTGGCAACAAATCCGCCATGCAAGTGAAAACCTTTGCTGCCAGGTCGTGAAATCGGCCGAAATCATAAAAGTTTCCATTATGCAAGACAGGCGGCTTGCTGTGAGAACTATAACAAGCAATACGGTCAGTGAGAACCGCCAAACGCCAACCATTTCGCGAACCATTGCATTTGGTGCATCTTAATAAATGCAAAATTTACATGTATAACGCCTTTCCGTTATTCTAGTGCGATTATTCTGGCGTAATTCTCTTCGGTTCTCAGCCTTAACGGTGTCCTATGATCATCGAATTACCTGTTAATTATATAGTTTGCCTAATCTCCGTTGGCTTTACACTGGCGTGGTGGGCCTGATTTAAGGCGGAAAATGCTAGTCCCGCCCGAGTAAGTGGATATGAAAGTGTTTGGCGGTTTACTGGCCGCTATTCTGACTGTAACCAGGCGTATCTCTGGTGATTGAATCTAACCCGCTGGTTAGAAGTGTAGGAAACTTCAGTCGAGTGCCGACATCCGCCAGCACCTGAACTCAGTCATAGTGATTGCCAACACACATTTTAGTAGTCATTGGAAATGCCCTTTTCTCGATTCCGGACGGTCTTCATAAATTGCTGTATAGAGGGAAATATTCAAACATACAAAACCTCAAAGGAACACATATAGAGTGGTTTGGTCACACCTCATCAGAAGACGGTAGTTTGTGTTTTGGATTTGCTCTCTTGCAGTATAGAATAGCCGGAAAGACTATCTAAATTACCCATTTTTCATCAAAACGGTACATGCATATATGATTTAAAATGTCCCATTAGCCCAAGCCTGCCTGCTCATCTGTGACTGAAGCACATCGCTATTTGTTGTTAGTACTAAATTACGTATGGAAGGCATCCAGCGGGCTAGAGCAATCATCGATTTGCAACCTTGTATTACCACGTGGATCGAGCGAAAGAAAACTAAAATACCGAGTCGAGTGTCGGTATTACCGACACTCGTAGGGATTGGTGGGACAGTGTTGAATCGTGTATAATTCTCGTGTCTCATGGTTTACGGCACGTGTATGACCTGCTACGATCGTAAACAGAATATTCGGTTCTTTTTAATCATCTGTGCCTTCGCTGCGAAGTGCGCATGGCTGTACACAACGGATGAAGCTTTCATCTTTCGTGAAGCCAGAAACTGACGATCGCAAGCAGGTTTTTTTTTCTTTCTTTTTTTCTTTTTTTTTCAATACTTTTAGCGCATCTCCACCGGCTTTGCGTAATTAAACGTAAATATTGTAAAATCACGCAGGAGGGTTTATCATAACGCCTACGCACTGCTAGAAAGTGTGGGGTTCTACATAAATCCCCCCAGACTCTGCGTGTGGCCTCTTGCACGATTTTATATTTCCTGCTACAACATTTTTGCTCTTTCGTTTTGCGCAAAAGCCGGTGGGTGAGCCCTCATCGATACTGTAAGTACCATGGTATATTTGGAGGAGTCGAACTTACTTGCAAGACACCTGCTCCTATTTTAGTCACGTTTTTGCTGACATTTTTGCCACGAGAGTGCTGATATCCCTTTCTTCGTCAATGCCACCTCTTGTGGTGGCTAATGTTAGAAATAAGCAGCTTACATTGTATGGAGGCAATATCCATGAACAAGTAATGTGCCCGCACATCTGTACTTCCACAAGGCAGATGCCCTTTGTTATATCGGAGCATGCCTTTCCTTCATCTTCTCCCATGGTGATCCACCCTTTTGTCGAAGAGAAATATGCAAGTTTCAGTGAGTCTCCTTGCTTATTTTCGATTTCGATGAAGATGACTGCTTATGTTCTAGGCTCGTTTTAGGGTTTAACCAAAGTACATGTACTGTGATCCCAGCTCACCCGACTGAATCAGTGATAATTTTGAGCTCGACCTGATTTCTGTGAGTCAAGATAAGCAAGTTGTGGATGAAGAAGGGACTGGCAACATCGCCGGAATCAAGACGAAGTATATGCCAGACTTCTCATCCTCTACTTCTTACATGGCAAGTTTGAAAACAACGTCGCACAACCAACCCCAGAGGATACGCAGTTCAACAGCTATACACTGTGCCTTGTCCTTCTGCCTCCGAGTTCACTACGGCTAGAGATGGTGTTGCTGTCGCCAAGGCCAACCGAGGCCAACCGACACTGCAAAACATATAAAACCAGCTATCAACGCGCCGTATCAAACTCGTCGAGCTGCCGTAGTTTAGCTAGGATGCAGTTATTCTCGATTTTCCCGCATCGATAACACCCGCCTCACCACGCCCGCATCGCAATCTCCGCAGCATACGTCCGGCCGATAATGAACCTTTCTGGAATGTTTCCACAATTATCATGTCGAAGTGGGAATCACTTATTTTGTAGCTATAACATTCGATTCAATCGTAGACTCGATCAGTGGCTGACTCCCAGCAAGTTTTTGTTTTCTTCTTCTTCCATTTGTGATTGTTTTGAGTTTAAGTACCCACCTGCGTACCATACTACAACTCGACTCCTCATCAATTTCCTAGCGAAGACGCGCTTTTCTGTTGACGTCGTCGGCTTCTTTATTTCGCCTTGATCTGCCGCACTAAATCCTTGTACTTCGAGTTTTTGGCCATGTCGTTCAAGAAGTCCATGTACGCTCGGTATTTCAGATACTCGCTACTCTGCATGAACCTCATCAAAGCACCTCCGTTCAGGTCGGAGTTGATCAGTTGCGAAATACCCAGCGTTGAGGCAAATTCCTCCTTGGTCGTCAAGTTCTTCATCATTTTCTTCATTTCCCGCGTAGTCAGAGATCGTTCTTCGTCTTCAGAGTCGGCTTCGATAGCTGCGTGGTGGACCCTCAGAAGTCGCTGGCTTGGGTTGGCGGGCGAGGCAACCCTCGAGTCCTGGTTCAAGTCGGCGGTCATCGAAGAAACATCGCTGGCAAGGAAGAACGACGCAGTGG